GGTCAAGAGCCAGAATCCCTGGAATCACGTGATTTTTGAAATGAAAATATAGGAGTTAATGTCATGCAAATGAGCATTTATAGTTAGAGGTAGTTTAAATAGGATTATAAAGATTAAAGGGAGCTGACCAAGCAAGACCGGGAACCAGACTAAAAGTAGCCTACTAAACAGGTAATCCAATGTGGCTCTGTTCTTTCCATCAGTCAAGGTTACTGCAGGTCCCAAGAGAAGAAATCCGTGGATAGATGGGCTAGGTCAAGCTCATCACACTTTAGAGAGGAAAACAAAACAAAAAATAAAACACACTCATACCCTTTGAAGCTTGAGTAAATCAGAAAAATATCGTAGTATGTATGTTTTAATGTGTGAAAACAACATTCCTACTTACCTTCAATTTCAGCGGAGATAATTTTGCCCTGGCAGTCTTCTGGTCTAGCTCCTCTCCTCCCCAAATCTTAGAGCTCCTTGTAAGTGCTTCCTCAGCTCTTAACCATCTTGTAATGTAAACATCTCTTCTCTGGTTACTGTCTCTAAGGAAAAGGCTTGTGTGTGCTCCCATCCAGACCTTCAAACAGTGCCCAGTACAGTGTGGTGCTTAGGAATTATATGTTGAATGAACAAAAGAACACTTCAACAAATTCTATGCCTTTACGAACGATTGATTAGTATTTCACATTGTTAAATGCTCTACACACAAGAAACAGATTTTCATTTAAAAAATGAATTATTTCACTTGATCATACTTTACTAGAATTATATAATAAATTATTTAGAACCAGATATAAATAATGGTTCTACAGCTTTACATAAGTTAGCTATTAATAGCTGCATGTACCTGGCTTCCAGGGGTCCCGTGACAACATATCGAGGACTGGTGAGACCTCAGTCATGGGCAGCAAAGCTTTAGATGCAGTCTAAGAGCTCAGAGAAAAGGGAAGAAGAGGGAGAGAACATTTACTGTGTATACCAAAAGTGTGTGACACTCTATAACCTTGCTCCATTTATCTTCACAAAAACCTAATGAGGTAGGCATTACATTTTCATTTCACAGAGGAAATGGAAATTCAGGAAGATTAAGTCATTTTGTCTCTAGACTACACAGCTAAAGAGTGTTATCCCGAGAACTGGGATAATAAAAAGTTCATCCTTTTTTAAAAAAATATTTTATTTATTTATTTGACAGACAGACCACAAGTAGGCAGAGAGAGAGAGAGGAGTAAGTAGGCTCCCTGCTGAGCAGAGAGCCCGATGCGGGGCTCGATCCCAGGACCCTGAGATCATGACCCGAGCTGAAGGCAGAGGCTTTAACTCACTGAGCCAGCCATCCAGGCGCCCCTAAAAAGTTCATCCTTAATTATGGTTTTGGAGGGGAAAAGGTAGAAGAAAGAAGTGTGAGAGATGGTAAAGAAAGGTGCATTTGAGATAAAACAAATGAGTCATTCCAAAGAGGTAACGAATTTCGCGTGAGTGTGTGTGTGTGTGTGTGTGTGTGTGAGAGAGAGAGAGAGAGAGAGAGAGATTGAGATATGGAGGGAGAGAGAGAGACTGGTTGAGGGATTTGATTTTGAGGCAGGAAAATATTTACCCTTAGCCCAGAAGGCTGACCTAAAGCTTGCACAGTTTGGATGAGGATCAAATATTTGCTATTTGCTACATTCCTTAAGGGTCTCACCACTGCCTGTATATTTCACCAAGAGTTAATATTGAACTGAATGATAAGCAGCACAGGAATCTTGCAAAATTAGTTTTAGGCATGGAAATTCAAAGAAATTCAAAGTAATCTGATACTTCCTGCATGCCCCCTTCCCTTTGATTACTAAGTCAATAACTACCAGCCTCATAGGGCAAAATGTGCAGCTCTTTCTGCCCAAGGGTCCTGCCCCTGTACTACTTACATGAACTTAGTAAGTTGCACTGTAAATGTCTCAAGAATTCTTTCTGGACCATTGCGCTCGAAGACCTCGCATTAAGATTCACTGGGGCAAGTACTGTTTTATAATCACAAGTTCTGTGAAGTTTCATGACGTCAACTGGAAGTTAAATGGAAAGGAGGAAGAAATTTTGATTAAAATTATTGCTCCAACTATTTAATTCATTAAATCATTTAAGAAAGTTTCAAATAAGAAACAATCCATGAGAAAATGAATATTCCATGAACAAATTCCCAATCTTGTCATCTTGTTTTATTTTCAGGTGTATTTGTTTTAGTTTTATCTTTCACATAAGAGATAGGTCTAGAGAATGCAAATTGGTGCAGTCACTTTCGAAAACAGTGTGGGTTCCTCAGCAGGTTAAAAATAGGGCTACCCTATGACCCAGCCATTGCACTACTGGGTATTTACCCCAAAGATACAGATGTTGTGAAAACAAGGGGCACAGCTACCCCCATGTTCATAGCAGCAGTGACCACAATAGCCAAACTGTAGAAGGAACTGAGATGCCCTTCAACAGATGAATGGATGAAGAAGATGTGGTCCATAAATACAATGGAATATTACTCAGCCATCAGAAAGGATGAAAACCCACCATTTGCGACCACACGGATGGAACTGGAGGGGATTATGTTAAGTGAAGTAAGTCAAGCAGAGAAAGACAATTAGTATATGGTTTCGCTCATATGTGGAACATAAGCAATAGCATGGAGGACACTTGAGGAAGGGAGGAAAATCCAAAGGGGGAGAAATCAGAGAGGGAGCTAAACCATGAGAGACTCTGGACTCCGGGAAACAAACTGAGGGTTTCAGTGGAGAGGGGAGTGGGGAGTTCTCTTTGTGTGTCTCTTCATTACTTCCTATCCTTTCTGTGGGTGATTTCAATATTTACCACCATTTCATGCTTTTTGAAATGTTTTCAATTAATTTCATAGAGATGGGTTTAAGATACTTCTGTGTTATGCAAAGCAAGGGGTTTATTTTCCTTAGCAGATTATGTAATTCTGCTTAAAGAGACTGACACACCCAGACTGAAATTAAAATAACAAACATGCATTGTAAAAAAAAAAGAGAGAGAGAGACTGACACAATAACATTTTATCATAAAACTAAATTGTGACCTAAGTGACTACATTGGTTAGTTTGGAGGAACTATGTAATGGAGTGGATTTGTCAAAAACACACATTCTAGCTTATTCTAGTTTAAAGGCTATGTGTTATAAATTACAAAAAAGTAGGTTAAAATAGTATATTGGTAACATAATGATTGAAAAATTATAAGAAGTCAACAAATTACAAATGACAGTCATTTACTTAATGTTATACAGTCAGGTAACCAGATTTTCTGGAAATTATACTGGCAATACAAATTTGAAGTAATAAAAATGGTAATACTCTTTAATCTAGTAATCTCATTCCTAAGAAAATAATAAGTGATCACAGTTGTGCATAATGATTTAAAAATAAGAACATTCCTTTTGAAAAATTTAGACCAGAAGAAAAATGTCCAATGAAATTGAAATCTATCCATAAATTATGTATTAATGGAATATGATAGAATGTGAATGTGATGCAGTCTTCGAAAGGACACTTTGGGTACATATTCAGTAATAAAAAATGATACTATAATATTAAATAAAACCAGAATAATTTTATATAAAAACTACATATGAGAGTATGAACCAAAATGTTAATATTGGTTATGATAAGAATATGAGTAAGGTAAACACATTTCAGTTTTGTTTTCTTCCTTTCTGTAATAGCCATGTTTTATGAAACATATTTTCTTTTATAATTAGAAATTAAATATTACTTTTAAAATTCTAGAACCCAAAAGCCAACTTTCCAAAAGAAAAGAGTACTCAGTACTCTGCTGATTTTCTCTGTCAGGTACCGTGGGGGATCTCCCATTTTGAGAACCTTGGAGCCCACTGGGTGCTGAGGTCATCCAACTAGAATGGCAAACATTACTGGGTTGTTCAATGACTAATTACTCAGCAGCACATATAGTGCAAGTACTGGAGGAAGAAAGTTGTATTTTGGGAGCTGATAGACTGAAATGAAAGCAGTTTTGCTAAATGGAGAGAATATTTCAGATTGTTCATGAATTTCAGTCATAAGCCAAAGTTTTGAGACTATGTAAATTGTCAAATGTTGCGCTAAAAATTCTTAGGGAAAATTTTTTGGGTCATTAGAATAACACTGAGATGCTAACTGGCATAACTTAATGTTTTTTGCACAGCTGAAGTAAGAACTAGCCTTTCAGGCAAGCTCAGACTCATGTTATTTTATCTCTTGATCAGGTATGTTTCACACATGCAGTTCTTTCACAAAATGAATAAATAATTCACTCTATATTTTAATAGTTTTTAATAGTTTTAATAGTTTTTAATAGGATCCCACTGTATTTAGAAATTTAATCATATATTGCAAAAATCTAAACAATTCCTTCTTTTTTTTCAAAAAGATTTTGTTCATTTTATTTGTCAGAGAGAGAGAAAGCACAAACAGGGGGAGCGGCAGGAGAAGCAGGATCCCTTCCAAGCAGGGAGCCCCATGTGGGACTCAGTCGCAGGACCCTAGGATCATGACCTGAGTTGAAGGTAGACGCTGAACTGACTTGAGCCACCCAGGCGTCCCTAAACCCAAAGAATTCTTTCAGGATTATAACCCTGGGTGAATTGATAGTGTAACTTTAATAAAATCCATTAGGCAGTATTACCCTTGGCTAACTTCACTTTCAGATTTGTCAAGAGGTGTAGCTCTGAGCAACCCCCTTTTATCTCTAACTCATACATATTAATAAGCTCCGGGTCAAGCTAAGGATAATGGTGATTTGGTTGCTGTTATTTTCATCCGTATATAAATCCACAAATCCAATAATGACCCATGAAAATCCTCCTTTGCCAATGCCACAGAACTGTTTCTTTCCTTGGGAATGATTAGGTAGGAAAACTAGCCATTGGCACATGTTTACAGAAAAGAAAAATATCAGCAGATTTATTTAAAAAAATTAGGACCTGGATTTTGACAATGTCAAGATTTATACTCTATCCCTGTTTATTTTGGATATGCCACTGACTTCCATTTCTAGAAGACACAGATAGATTGCTTAAGCAACCAAAGGTAAGAACCCAGTAGTAATTATTGTTGTATTTTCACATAATGCTTCTACCTCTGTTTTGATTTATTAAAGTATCAGCATTTGCTTTGTTTTCTATCTTATGTGCTTTCTATTTACAGCCGGTGATTGCTTGTATTTTTTACCGACAAGTGAATATTCTACTAAAAGACACTTTTAGTTAAACATAATAATAAATAAAGACCTGGTAATAGGAGTCTACTAATCTGAATATCACAACACAGTAAATACCACCTCCTTTTTGCAAATTTCAAGTTCATTTGTAGAAGTCAGAAACAATAACTTTGGCAGATTTGTCTTCCTGCAAAGGAAGTACCATATACTGGGTTTTCTTTCTCTTTTTAAATGTTTGGAGATTGAACACCATTAAATTCATATAAATCTTAATAAAAAATTAACTCCTGAAAATATGAGCTCGTTGAGAACTTCTTAAGTTTTAGGTACTTTATAAACATTATTATAGCACTCTGCACACCCCCTTTTAGAGATAAATAAGTGGTTTACAGAGATTAAGTGGGTTCCTGAAGGCAAAGTATTACTGTTGTGTGATGGAGCCCAAATTGAAATCACCTTGCTTTCTCTTCTTAATTCTCCATGATAGGCATGTATATTTTAATTAGACTTTTTGTTACTGTCATGTTTTATTTTATTTTTTAAAATATTTTATTTATTTATTTGACAGACAGAGATCACAAATAAGCAGAGAGGCAGGCAGAGAGGGGGAAGCAGTCTCCCACTGAGCAGAGAGCCCAATGTGGGGCTTGATCCCAGGACCCTGAGATCATGACCTGAGCCGAAGGCAGATGCTTAACCCACTGAGCCACCCAGGCACCCGGATCATGTTTTGTTTTTATAAATTTAAAAACTACTTTTTAGGGGCACCTGGGTGGCTCAGTGGGTTAAGCATCTGCCTTCTGTTAGCATCATGATCCCAAAGTCCTAGGATTGAGCCCCTCATCAGTCTCCCTGCTCAGCTGGGAGTCTGCTTCTCCCTCTACCCCTCACCCCGATCATTCTCTCTCGCTCTCGCTCAAATAAATAAATAAATAAAATCTTTAAAAAATTATTCTTTATCATTTTTTATTGTGCCAAGGTTACAGGATTATAAATTCTTGTCATTTCATTCTATGTTAGAGAGTTAGACATTATTAAACTAAGTTTTTAAAATGTTCCTATCAATAAACACATGTCTTACAGTTGGCTTTTTACATTTCGATCTTTTTGTTTATATACCCCTTAATTTGTTCAATTACATTCATTCCTTCTCTTGGCATTCTTTCCATACACATCTTTCACTTATGTCTTTGTTGGATCAAGCAGGGAGACGAAAGAGGATAGGGTTAGGTGGGAGTATCAGAATAACTGGAAATAAAAGACCTGATAGTTATTGATTACACTTTATATACCATAGAGGATTACACCCTCTTTTCTCTACACTTGAAATGTTTATAAACTCTGATCACAGAATAATCTCAGTAAGGCAAAGAAGTATACAGGCTGCATTTTCTGCCCACAGTCAAAGTTAGAAATAATAAGTAAACTTTAAATTAAATGCCTTACCCCTTAGAAATAACAAAGAAAAGAAAAGAAAAAAAAGCAGGGATAGGGTTGGCGGGGAAGAATAGTCAAATACATCTTTAAGTGAAGATAACAAAACAGCTATTATGATCTTTGTCTTTTTCAGGGAGATAATTTTTTTAGGCTGTGAAGTCAGTGTGTGTAAAAAGTCTGGATAAAATAAATTATTTTCTACAAAAACAAATGTCTAAATTTTACTTTAATTAATTAACTAGTTAATTAATTAAAAATATTGTATTTATTTATTTGCCAGAAAGAGAGCACAAATAGGCAGAGCGGCAGACAGAGGCAGAAGGAGAAGCAGGCTCTCCACAAAGCAGGGCGCCAGATGCAGGACTTGATCCCAGGATCCCGGGATCATGACCTGAGCTGAAGGCAGCCGCTTAACCGACTGAGCCACCCAGGTGCTCTAAATTTAATTTTAGAAGTAAAAATCAAATTGATGAAAAATTACAGGCAAAATTGAAAGAAGGGTCCAAGACTACTTCCAAAAATGCCACTTATGACTTAAATATTTACTTATTAATTATTCAACAAATATTTATTTAGTACCTATTGTGTGCCAGTCACTGTCTTATTGTGTCCCCATCAATAGGTCAAAGGAATAAATCCATATAATGCCAGAACCTTTCTCCTGGGGAAAGAGTACATGGGAACTGGGCAGCCATATTGTAAGTTTTGGCTGTGGCACTAACCAAACCTTCCACAGCTGTAACTACATCCCTTAAAGGAAAAACATAGTGTACCTTCCCCTCAGCAGACAAACACCGTGTGAAGATTTCGAGCTATGCTATGAACTAGGCTAATATCGTCAAAAAAGTACACAGCCTACATTCTCTGGCCACTCTTTATGTGGTACAAGTGATTATAATTGTACTAATGGTTCTTAAATGTACAAATGTTCCAAAGTACCAATCTATTTAGCTTTAATTCATATGGCTTTAATTGATGAGAAGGCAATTGATAAATTTCAACATCTATTTTTGATAAAATAGGAAATTAGTAATAAAAAAGCTTTAACATAAGAAAGACAACTTATCTGAAATCATGGGCAAAAATAGAAGAAATTCTAGAGACTGAAATAAGACAAAGAGGGCTGATATATTATCTAACATTGTTCTATGATTTCTACTCAACCCAGTAAGACAGGAAAATTAAACAAAGCATACAGTTTGCAGAGATAAAATTAATATTACTCATGGATAATAGAATTGTCTACTCAAAAAACTTCAATGGATTAATTTAAAACTATTAAAATAAAAATGTTCAATAAGATAATAGGCTATAAAAATAAATGTATAAATTAATAGTTCTATAAGCCCACAATAACAAGTCTATACAATAAAAATAGGTCTTATTTACAAATAAAAATTTAAATTTGTAGAGTGTATTTAATAGGAAATTTGCGCTGCTTATTTAAAGGAAATTATAGAGTACAAAGTAGATTTTTTAAGCTATCGATAAATCAGATGTCCCTTGATATATGATTTTTAAAGTTTTAATATATTAAGCATGTTGAGTCTCCCAAAATTCATACATCTAATGAAATCTCTTTTTAAAACACATTGTGTTCTAGGGAACATGATAAAATTATTCTAAAAGCAACTGGGAATAATAAATGTACTGTCATAGAAATAGCTATTTAAATATAGTCATTAAAATGATGACGGAGTGTAGATGTTTATTATTGCTACATGTGGTGTAGACATAGTGTTTATGCAATAAAAGAAGTAACAAAAGTAAAATAATTTTTTGCGTTGTTTATTTTGCGCTAGACATTATTTAAAATGCTATAGACATAAAAACCAGTGCTTGTTGGTGCCCGCTCTCAAGTCTGGCGGGAAAGACACAGCTATAAATGCATCATAATAAAAGAATGGGTCAGTGCCCTGATGCTAAGTACTACATTCTATGTGAGAGACGAGGGGAGCCTCAGGCACCCAGGCATTCCAATTCCAGCCATTAGAAACATTTGAGGGGCGCCTGGGTGGCCAAGTGGGTTAAAGCCTCTGCCTTCGGCTCAGGTCATGATCTCAGGATCCTGGGATCGAGTCCCACATTGGGCTCTCTGCTCAGCAAGGAGCCTGTTTCCTCCTCTCTCTCTGCCAGCCTCCCTGCCTACTTGTGATCTCTGTCTGTCAAATAAGTAAATAAAATCTTTAAAAAAAAAAAAAAGAAATATTTGATTTTTTCTTCTTTCTTTACCTTTATCACATGGTGTTTCCTTTTCCAAGATTGCTCATTTCCTCTATGCCTAGAAAACTCCTAATCATCCTCTAGGATCCAGTTCCATATGCACTGCTTTGGAAAGCTTTTTGTGAATCTCCCAGCTGTACAGAGTTGGCCTACGCACACACAAAATTGTCCTATTAGATTTTTATTACTTACAGGGTTCTCTTTGCTAACTTCTTGAGGGCTGGAAGCCTGTCTTAATCAACAATCCGTCCTTTCTTGTCTCTCTCTTGCCTTCACACCTCAGCAAGCTACATGGGGCTGCTGATTATACAGCTTGGGCTCCACAAATGTTGAGAAGCAGAAATAGTAAACGCAGGTTAGAATGTTACCTGCAAATTGTTTGCAAGGAAAAATATCAGGACTCTTAATGTGTTCCTTTTGGGTATAAGGTATACATTTGTAAGAAAAGAAGGAAAAAAAATCCTAAATTTCAAATACTCCTTGTGACTGACAAAATCTCCATGTGATTAGAGTCCAGGGGACCTCAAGTGCTGGACTCTAAGTATTTATTTGCCTTTTTATATGTTTATTCACCTCTATAATTTCCATAAAAAGTTTGTGTTTGTGTTGTCCCAGGGCATAGACAAAGAAAAAGGAAGTCATCCGTCCTTCAGAAGCTTGGAGAACCTCGGGAAAGTGGGACATACACAGGCAGCCATAGATACATATACAAGGAAGTAAGTACTTAGGGCCAAAGAAATGATTTAAAATATAGTCAATATGTGTATTGATATATATAATATATATATATTAATGGATGGTGAAATTACAATAGATTTTGTAGAAGATGGAACTCTAAGACTTTCCCCAAACACCTCTCATCAGTATGCATTTCCTGAGGAATTCCACTGTGAAACAGGTATTGGGGTGAGATATCCTAACATAAGAGGCAAGGAAACCTTCAGTTAATCAGAATTTATTAATTTTGGGGGTCAATTTTTAGAATTCTGAATAGTGTCTGATTCAAAGGAGAAAATGGAAAGATAACACATTAAAGCCTCCAACCATTGCAGAAAGTCGTTGTTCTTACCCTTGGTTAGTAGAACACACTGATTTTATGTCTTTCTCTATATATCTATTTATTTATAGAGAGGGAGAGAAAGAGAAAGACAAGGGGCAGAGGGAGAGAAGAATCTCAAGCCAGATACAGGGCTTGAGCTCATGACCCTGAGATAATGACTGAGCAGAAATCAAGAGTTGAATGCTGACTCAGCCACCCCAGGGGGCCTGAATGTATTAATTTTAAAGAAAACTTTCTTGAAAGATCTAGGGTCTTGCAATGCCCCAACATCATAATATATATGATTTTCATGTTAAAATCAATTTTTAAAATGTATTTGAAAAACATTTCTAGTCAGTGGGAATGTAGTGGTGAACAAAACAGAATTTTTTTGCTCTTCCATGATTATATTTTCTGGCATTTAAGCCCCTCTGTTATATCACTGTTTTCTTGTAAAATGTTTTGGCTAAAGAAAGAAGTATTGGAAGATGTTTTTGGTTATTAAATGGTTTTGTTCTTGGCTTGTGATCAATCGAGATTTTATGTTATGATGGCTACTTTGTGAATTTTCTGTGGATTGTGAAGGTGGCATTAATGAGTATGAGAGTTATGCCCTTTTTGGTGAAATTGTTTCTCCCTGAGAAAAGAATGTGTTTTTCTCATGACTTGCTAACAAGTGACTTAGTGAGCCTGACAGGTCCCTGTGCATGCTAAGGGCAGATACAGCAACAATGTTGTGTCAGCTCTGTTTTCATTTTCATGGGAACTATGCCTTGCTTTTAATCCTATAAAGAAAATTATTAAATAGTTGTTCTCACCAATTTGGCCTCTCAAAGTGATAGTTCAAGGGGGGGGGGGCGTTAAAGAAAGACGATTTGCATCATTTAACTCTTGTCTCCATGAGAAAGTTGATGGTTGCCTCTCTGAGCTTGGGGATTATGTAATAATATCATCAACTTGCATCTGTAGAACCCTTCAGTATTGCTTTATATATATTTTATTATTTTTATTGCTTTGTATATATTGATACGTTGTTTTTGTTAGCTCCCTGGAGAGAATCATTACAATGGGTAGGGCGGGCACTCTCATCTCCATCTTACAGGGGAGGGAACAGAAGCTTAGAAGGATTTCTGCCGAGGTCTCACTGGCAGTTTGGTGAAGAGCTAGGGCGGAACCCAGGTCTTTGCCAAGCAGGAGGCGGCTGTTTGCAGGCACGAGCTGCCTCCCGGCAGGGTAGCCCGCAAAGCCTGTTCTGCATGGTTACACAACTCCAGGAACATCGTTAAATTTGAAGCCGTAACCTTAGCTCTGCAACTGAACAGTGAGATTGGGCAAAGATTGGAAAACATTCTTTTCTTTTCTTTCTTTCTTTTTAAAGATGTGTTTATTTATTTTAGAGACAGAGAGAACACACAAGCAGGGGGAGAGGTCGAGAGAGAAGGAGAGGGAGAATCTCAAGCAGATTCCTTGCTGAGTGTGGAGCCCGATGCAGGGCTCAATCTTACGACCTTGAGACGATGACCTGAGCTGAAATCAGGAGTTGGCCGCTTAACCGACTGAACCACCCAGGCGCCCCTGGAAAAGATTTTATTTTATTTATTTTTTAAAAAGATTTTATTTATTTGAGAGAGTGTGAGAGAGATCACGAACGGGGGCGGGGAAGGACAGAAGGAGAAGCAGATTCCTGACTGAGTAGGGACCCTGATGCAGGGCTCTATCCCAGGATTCTGGGATTGTTATCTGAGCTGGAGGCAGAGGCTTAACTGACTGAACCACCTAGGCGTCCTGGAAAACATTATTTTATTCTATTTTTATTTTATTTTAAAATATTTTATTTATTTATTTGACAGAGAGAGAGATTACAAGTAGGCAGAGAGGCAGGCAGAAAGAGAGAGGGGGAATCAGGTTCCCTGCTGAGCAGAGAGCCTGATGTGGGCTTGATCCCAGGACCTTGAGATCATGACCTGAGCCAAGAGCAGAGGCTTAACCCACTGAGCCACCCAGGCGCACCCCCCCCTTTTTTTTTTTTTTGTTATTGGACAATATTCTATTTAAAAACATTATCATGTTTCCCATTAAAAAATAAATTAGGGGTACCTGGGGGGCTCAGTTGGTTAAGTGTCTGGGTTAGAGCACCAGATTGGACTCCCTGCTCAGCAGGGACTCTGCTTCTCCCTCTTCCTCTCTCCCTCCACCCCCCACTGTATGCTCTCTCTCTCAAATAAATAATAAATAAAATATTTTAAAAAATAAACCAGGAGAAAATACAGAACAACACAAAGAAGAAAGTAAAAACACTAATGATCTTTCCACTAAAAACTTAACATGTTTAACATTAAGGTGTTTATCTATGCACATATACATAATTTTTAATAAAATGAGATGATACTATAAATATTATTTAATGATCTGGTTTTTCTGTTTAACACTATATCATGAACATTTCTACAAGTTGTTAAGTGATGTTCTTTAGAGAAAAAATATCCAAGTTTATCCTTTTATATAAAATTAGTACATGTTTATATCTAAAATTCGAATAATACAGAGAACAATGGACTATTTCAGAGGTAACTATTGTTTACAGTGTAGTGCATATAAGTTCTGGACTTTTCTATGAAGTCTGAATTTTACTAGTTGCATTAGCAGATTAGACCCCTGATGGAGAAGAGAGCATCATTTATTTTTAAAGGTACATATTTCACTTATTAGAGTCACTATAACAGATAACATACAAAGCCAAACACATCATTTATAATAATCTTTTGGAACATTCACACAGAATTCCACTCTAGAAAGCACCAACATCCAGGAGTTCTATACAGAGATGGATCATCTTTGGCCATCTTCGAATAATTTAGCAGTGCAGGTGTTCTGACCTGCATAATACGTAACCATCCTTGTTTAAAGTTGATATTTTAAAGTCTGCATACTGGGGTGCCTGGGTGGTTCAGTGGATTAAGTCTCTGCCTTTGTCTTGGGTCATGATCTCAGGATCCTGGGATCAAGCCCCACATCAGGCTCTCTGCTCAGCGGGGAGCCTGCTTCCCTCTCTCTCTCTCTCTCTGCCTGCCTCTCTGCCTACTTGTGATCTCTCTGTGTCAAATAAATAAATAAAATCTTAAAAAAAAAAGATAAAGTCTGCGTACTATGTCAGCCTTGCGAAATGAATTTCTCAGTTCAGTTTTCAATTTTATCCAGAAAGTAGTTTCCTGCTTAGGAACTACTCAATACAGCCTGTTACAGATCACAACATAGTAGTGATGGTAGTTCAATGGGATTACAGCAGTCAGATTGCTTTGTAATCTTTATAATTCACATATGTAAATACATATGTGATTTAAGGGACTTACGAATCAGTCAAGTATGCCAATGACATTAGTAGATGACAGAATTTTATCTTGATTTTAGCAAGGTAAAAAAAATGCAGTTAATAGAGATCCAGGGGTACCTATTCACTTAGGGGACAGTAATAATGCCTGATGTCTAGCAGGCATTTGATAAATATACGTTACATGTTAAACGGACCAAAGAACCCAACTGAAGAAAAATTGGCCAAGAATAGTAAAATCTAATTTATGAAGAAAGCCAAATGACCAATAGGCATATGAGAGTTTTGCAACTTTACTCATAAATGTGAATCAAAAGCCACAGTTCAAACAAGTTTGCACTCATCAAATTGGGGAAAAACCTTAAAATTTGGCAACATGAAGGGTTGGCCAGGATGTTGGGGACATGGTCTGTTTGTACACGGCTGGTAGAATGTATAAAATGAAGTTCAAGTTTGGGCATCACTTTGACCAGCCCCACTAACCTGACACTAGAATGAACAATTCCACTTCCGGGTATAGACTTAAGAACGACTCTCGCACAGGTGTCTAAGGAGGCACGCAAAGGATTTTACTACAGCACTGTTCACAATAGCAAAAAAAACCTGGAAAGAACCTTGTTCATTAATAGAAAGAGGAAACACACATAGAAAAGAGAACAAAATAGGGTATACAGAATCTGCAATATTTACCAACAGTATTATAAAATGAAAGAGCTCTGTGTATATTAGCATACATAATTTTAAACATAATTTTGAGTGAAGAAAGAAAGCTGCAAAATTATACACAGATGAGGACACAGCTCCATATGCTTTAACATGTCCCAAAGTATACCGTGATTATGGAGGCTTAGGCAGCTGGTTGAAAGGAGGAAAGATGGTCTGCTAAAATACACACCAAATTTACAGTGGGGGTTGCTTCTGGGAGGTAGGGAAGGGGGACGGCAAGAACGGGACTGGGAGGTGAAAGTTTCTTATAGGGCTTTAACTTAAGGTATAAAACTTTCTTGTTTTTCATAAGCCATAAAAGGTGTGGACATAAATTTGACAAAAAACAAAAGGTCACAATTAATTCCTGGTGGTGGAACCACGGATGATATAATTTTTATACTGTTTCGCATTTTAAAATCAAGGTCCCTATGTGTACCTGGTAAGTCATTAATTTACATGACACAAAATTTAAAAAGTACAAACTACTCCCTTTTGCATTCCTACTGTCCAGTCCTACCCATGGTTCCCTTTCTTAGAAGCAAGTAATCCCTGGTATGATGTTCTTGTTACATCTCTCCCTCTCTTCACGTACACACACACACACACATACACACACACACACACACATGAATACATATATC